GCCGGCAGTAGCAGTAGCAGTAGCAGTAGCAGTAGCAGTAGTAGTAGCAGTAGTAGTAGTAGTAGTAGTAGTAGTAGTAGTAGTAGTAGTAGTAGTAGTAGTAATAGCAGTATTAATAGTAGTAGTAATACTAGTAATCGTGGCAGTAGTGGTAGTAGTAGTTGTTGTAGCCGTAGCAGTATGGTGATGATGACGCGCATGGCATGAAATCTGAAATGAAGGGCTAGTTACTAGTTGCGACATGCACCACAACTCTCAGCTCACCAAAACCAGTGGGTGCAAGTATCAGCAGCAGCAACCACCACAACAACCGCTATCATTTTCGAAAGGAGCGCTCCTCCGTCCGGCAAGTATTCCTATAATTCCTACTCCCTCCGGAGCCTGAAAGTGACTTTGTGGGAGTTTCCAAAAATAGGGGACGACCCTAATGTAGTGCCCTGGGCTAGTACGATCCTTATAGGACCCCACAATAAGGTACCCGGAATTTTCGGAAACTCCTATCTGCCCGCAGAGATCAGGACCAGGGTCCTTGGGAGCAGCTACCGGAAGGCTTCCGCCCCTTCTTCCGGCGTTCGGACTTTCGGCCGCCAGCCTACCAAACGGATCGGCTCAGCTCAGGCCTGCATGTGATTGTTGATTGCGTCTAGTGATGTCTAGTGTACATAATCATGCATAGACAGACATGTGTATGCATATGTTCGTTGGCACGCTGGTACGGGTGTTTGTCGGTCTATCTGCCTGCCCGCCTGCTATGCATGTATGTATGTGCGTATGCCTGTAAGTATGTATATTCTTGTGACTGTATGTGTGTGTGTTGGGCAGGCAGACAGACATGCAGACATTGACATGCTAATGCCAAGAGCCTGTACATGTGATGTCGCTCATACGTACATATGCAGGGACAGGGGCGGTCAAAGCACAAAGCAGCAACTCCAGTAGTTGCAACCCCGATGGCCTGTAACGATGCTGGTAGCCGCAATAGCAGCTGCCATATCAACCCTGAGCCCTTAACCATTTACACAATTAGCCTTGCCGTAAGGTCGTAGGGGTTGTTGTCGTAATGCGAGAAAAAGCGAACAAGAAGCGAACACAAAAGCCCGAAGCTTGAGATCGAGGATATGCTCCACCAGGTTGTAAGTCTAGCCGGAAAGCTAGGTTCACCCAAACCCTCGCCTGAAGCAGTCGAGTGCGAGTGCTAAAAAGTCTCGTCGAGTCGATGCGTTGAGGTTGAGCCGTTTGGTAGCAGATCCCGTTCAGGTGTCCTCCAGTCTGCGCTGCAAGAGGACTTCTTTTCACAAGTGCTCTCGCCGCCTTTCCGAAAATTGCTCCTTGGCTTGCTGGGTAAAATTATTACTATAGGGTTGTAAATTCAGCCGTTCAGCCACGCGAACCCTTCAATCTGTTGAGCCCAACATCACCGACAGCTTTGAACTTGAAGCTGTCTCGCATCCGCTTCCGCAGCCTGACACCCCAATCTCGGCTATGGAAGCCCTGTACTCAGGCATCATGGATCGTATTGTGAACCTTACAACTCAGTACGCCTTCATAGCTGCCGCGCCGCTACGTCACCCTTCAGGCCATCAGCCAGCACACTGCGAAATCACTTTCACAAGCCACTGTAATCTGCTGATTGAGGTTTGCTACCCTCCTGAAACAGACACGCCTGGAAATCCTGATCCCAAAGCCCCAACTCCACGAGCATCCGTGACCTGTTGCCGGAAGCCTGGACCTACCAAGGTGGGATAATTCTTCCCCCTGGCTGCCTTTTAATACGTATACAGTCATATGGGGGCCTTAATGATTGGAATCGCCCCCAAAATAATGGAGGTAATTATTTAGGCCCTTATATTGTATATAGTACCTTTCTGATCCCTTGCAGTAATCCTTATAGATTCCCTTGATAGGAACCCTAAGAGCCCTATAGGTGTTTGTTAAGGCCCCTACAGTACATCCTGTGACTGAGGTGGGCGAATCCCAGCCAGGCCAAACAGGAGCTGGGTAGGATCCTGGGTGCCGGGCCTGCAAATACTACTTGGGGGTACTTAGAAATATTTTTTTAGTTTTTTGTTATTATAATCCCTAAGAAACAGCTAAAAATTAATTTTTGCTAGGGTTCTAAGTTCAGTATAGACTAGAGGGGCCTTAGTAATTACCGATACTCCTTTAGAGTTTAAAGGGTTCCTTAAAAGGGATGTTGTAAGGATTCTATAAGGGACTTCGGGATAGAGGGGCCTTAATAGCTACCCATAGTAGTTTGGGGGTTCCTCATTATACTCATAGTATCATGGGCCCCAAAACGCTTATTTAATGATTAAGGCCCCTACAGTAGAGTTTCAGGGGGAAGTGAAACCCCCCGTAAGGTTAAGAGGACTGAGGGGGGAACAAGATCGAATTAGCAGCTGGAGAGCTGCGGGATGCGAATGTTGAGACTGTGGTCCGGAGTTCAGGGAATCCGAAGCCCCAAGAAGTAAAAGGTTGCGGTCGGAATGCAGGTTGCACGTACCAAGATGGCACCGACGACGAGGATTACTACTACTACTACTACTACTACTACTACTACTACAACTGCTACTACTACTACTACAACAACTACTACTACTACTACTACTACTACTACTACTACTACTACTATGACTACTACGACTACTACTACGACGACGACTACTACTACTCCTACTACTCCTGCTACTACTCCTACTACTCCTGCTACTATTTCTACCACTCCTGCTACTACTGCTACTACTACTACTGCTGCTGCTACTACTACTACTACTGCTACTGCTACTGCTACTATTGCTGCTCCTTCTACTCCTGCCACTACGCCTACTGCTCCTGCTACTACTGCTACTCCTGCTACTACTACTACTACTACTACTACTACTACTACTACTACTACTATTACTACTACTAGTGCTACTAGTGCTACTAGTGCTACTAGTGCTGCTACTACTACTACTACTACTCCTGCTACCACTACTTCTGCTGCTACTACTACTACTACTTCTACTACTGCTGCTATTACTACTACTACTACTACTACTGCTACTACTACTACTACTACTACTACTACTACTGCTACTGCTACTGCTACTGCTACTGCTACTGCTACTGCTACTGCTGCTGCTGCTGCTGCTGCTGCTGCTACTGCTGCTGCTACTGCTACTGCTACTGCTACTGCTACTGCTCCTGCTGCTACTGCTGCTGCTGCTGCTGCTGCTACTGCTACTGCTACTGCTACTTCTTCTTGTAGTTCTAGGCACTTCTGCTACTGCCACTACTGCTACTACTAGCACCACCACGACCGTTTGCAAACTCCATTGATCCACGATCGCTGCCGTCGGTACTGCTGGGTGAACTGTTTCTATTTTAACTCCGTTGCTATGGCACTTAGTGGTTGTTCTATTGTCGGGAAGCAAGCTGAAATTACTACGACGTGGTGCTTCAGCTTGCACCCGAACATCATATACACAGCGCCCTCGAGCTGATTGGGTGTAACCTTGAGTGCCAAAGCGGAAAAGCGCTGAATTAGGCGAGCTGTTCTATGGCGTGGCATTGGCAAGTGACCGGCTCGACTTTGAGCCGGACTTTGATGTCTGCCGTCGGCAGATACAGTCTCTACGGAGCCGCTTGGTCCGTGTCGGGAAGTGAGCTTCAGACTTAGAAGGTGAGAGTTGTCACTTGTGTGTTTTCTTGAACCGCTTTTCCATCTGATGGGCTGGTTGCCTGATGCAGTTAGCCGCCCATGCAGGCCTTGTGGTCTCGGGGAACGCGGCAGCCACCTGAGCGCCGTGGTGCAAGTCTTTGAATGCTGCTGGTCAAAGCTCGGTTCTCTGCATGACCTTCCCAAAATATCGTCCATTCAAAGTTTGTTTTATGCTACAGAAGACCGTGCTCTGTTGAGCAGTTTAATGCCATACCTACCCAGGCCCTGTAGTTCCAGCTAGTTGAGCCAGCAAAGATTGCTGGCCAGCTGAGCACGCAAAGACGTGAAGGTTCCTGTTCTTAGAATCCAGGGCACCACCGTCCCTGCAGCATTTCGGGACTGCCTGCAGAGTTGCCTTTTCGTCGCAATTGACATGGCTTTGGGTTGCGGGGACACTGGTGCTTGATCGGATAAGAGCATTAACACTAAAGATGTGTGGTCTTTTACAACCATGCGTCTAACATTCCGAACCAGGGATTTGGCTTTTTCATGCCGTGCCCTGTGCCGTTTGGCAGTCTGCGTGTCGCGAAAAGCTGTGTTAGCCCTGCAAGTTCAGAAGTCAGTCCCTGCCGGCGAGCGGAGATGCCGCGGCTGAGATAGTGCAACTGCCCGGGTCTTTCTTAACCCTAGGCCCCTAAAGCCGGAACCCTTAGTCCTAAAGGCGCACGTGTGCAGGGGGGGGATCCATCAAACACATTGAGCCTGGGCTTTTCCGTGCCTTGATCTTCAGGGAGGGTACTACAGAGATCGGAATCCGTACCTCTGGTAGTCCCTTGCCGTCACTCCCACAGCTTGTGCTATAATGTATCCCGGAGTAGTTTCAATAGTATTCTCTTATAGTCCCTGTCATACCTGATATTATAAGATCGCCCCAACCCCTCTTAGAATGATGAAGACCCCTAAATCATCCTTTGTTTAGGCTCACGGAGACCCGAAACCCCAGTAGGCAAGCAAGCAGTTGGAGGAGCATAAAAGGATGGCCGTTGCAAAGACGAGAATCCGAAATCACAGCAGTCGCTTTGGGAAGACACTGGCGGCAGCCTTTAATTTGACAGCTCGGGGGCGCCTTTTGTACAAATGGTAGCCTCGTCAGCCGTTGCCTTCTTGCTGTTCACGGGAGGTTTCTCTTGTCGGGGCCAGTCGGGCTTGTACGAGAGCGATCCCGAGTATCGGGGCCTTGTCGAGTTGGGCTTGACGACCACAGGACCAAGAAGGAGAAGCTCAACCTAGTAGCAACACAGGCTATACTCATCGTCACACAAGCACATGCAAAGCTGGAGCTTTTCCGTGCTGACAGGCCCCAGCTGGGAGGAGAGCACAGATGCATCCAGCTTCCGGGGCGTTCAGGACATCCCACTTCCCGCTGTCTTGCTTGTGACTGGCAGTTCGCCGGCTCTGAGCTTGAAAATCTGAGCTTTCTCAACTGGAGGTCGATGTTTCTGCTAAGATTTCCGGTCGTGTGCGTGTCTCGATTTTGCCAAGGAGTTGCAGGCTGAGGAGGACCAGGGGGCCGAGGAAGTCGCGGTAAAGGCTTGCAGTTGCTGAGATTCAAGGTCAGTTGTATAAGCATTATATATACATACATACACAGTATGTATGCGTATATATATATATATATATATATATATATACATACACATATATATATATATATGTGTGTGTGTGTGTATTATATATATATATATATATATACACACGCACAGACATACATACCTCTCATATTGTATATATATATACATATGTATGTACAAATAAACAAATAAATATATATATATATATATATATATGTCTGTATATATATAATTATATATATATATATATATATATATATATATATATGCCTTCTTCGTTGTTTTGGTCTTCGGTTGCTTGTAGGGTTTGGATTCGAGAGCTTGCACAGCATCTGTGTCTCACATGTGTTGTATGTGCAGGGAAGGGACTGGTCTGCTTCGAGCTAGTATTAGTAGAGATGAGGCCCTCTCAAGCAACTGTAGGCATGCCATGTACTCAATGTGATTGAGCCCCCTTTCATTGACCGGTGCCATAGATCTGCAAATGTCGCTAGTATTGGTACTGCAGTCACGGCGACGACAATGAAATTTGCTTCCGTTGTTTCTCATATTGCAATTAACGGCGAGGCTACCGAAGAAATGAAGGGGAGATGTAGAAAATGTCTGAGAAGCCGTGCATATTTCACGCACGAAACAAGCATGAGAAGTGTGGGCAATCGCAGCCTACGTGATGAAGGGCATACAAGGATGCGTCAACTGCTATATGCATCCTGCGAGGCAGAGTGCTCGGGTGCCCGGGCAGAGCAGTCAAAGCCCAGCCGTAGACCCAGCTAGAAGTTTCGGGGTCAGACAGTTGTCCCTTATGCGGCGAAGAAGCCCTGAGCTTGCCTTAGCCTCGATCCGCGAACACAAAAGCGAATCGAACCACCTCGCAGCGCGAGTCCAACTTCACAGACCTCCTCAGAGAGTCAAACGTAACGGAACGACTTGTACGCTTTGAAGGCCCAGACGGCAGTCTCCCCCGTAAAACGAGTGGTGTCCCATTAAGAGCTTTCCACCGAAGTTCAGAACTTGTAGCACATGTCATCTAAGTCATTGTGTCACAGTTCCAGTTGTCAGCTCCCCGCGAGCAAGCGGTGACGTGGTCCACCACCGCTGCCTGTGGCAAGAAGCACTACAAACCCTAAGCTTCTCATCGAACCGGAACCTCCCAAAATCCTTACCCGAAAAAGCCCTGAAAGCCCTCAGGCCCTAACATCACCCTAAACCTAAGCCCAAGACATCCTAGTCCTAGTCTCCGAGGCAAGTTCGAGTTGCTGGATGCAGAGCTTTCGGCAGAGGCAGAGGCATCAAGCTCCTCACTGCCTCGACAGCCCCAAGCCCGGCTCGGTCCTCGGCGCCCTTGGGCGAGGAGTTAGGGCATGTGGCTGGGTGGATATGGGTGCATCTCGCTCTCTAGCTATCTCTCTCTCTCTCTCTCTTTTTTTTTTTCTCTCTCTCTCTCTCTCTCTCTCCCTCTCCCTCTCCCTCTCCCGCTCCCTCTCACTCTCACTCTCACTCTCACTCTCACTCTCACTCTCACTCTCACTCTCACTCTCACTCTCACTCACTCACTCACTCTCTCTCTCTCTCCCTTCTCCCTCTCCCTCTCCCTCTCCCTCTCCCTCTC